CCTTTCTTTTCCCCCTCTTCCCTTTAAAAAACAAAAAAAAACCCCCCCCCCCCCCCCCCCCAAAAAAACCCTTGATAATTAAAAAGGAAAGGAAATAACACAATAAACAGACAAACAGTGAAGCATTCAGCTACCCAAGCAGACATCTAAAATAAGCCTCTGAAAATTTAACATTTGAAAAGCAATGATTTTAGTGGTTACAGTGTGCAAATGACTAAATATGCCGCCTGCTTCAGAGATAGCTGAATACTGTAGTCAATGACTATTATCCATGCCTAGGACTGGCAGTTCTGTTGCTTTTGTTGCTGGCTTTGGACATTATATATTACCACTTCCTCCGCATATTTCATGCCTCCCCCCTCTCCCCCCAAGAGACCAGCGGCATGACTTCAGAGAGACATATCAGAAAGATGGGAACTTTTCTTTTCAAAGGTTTCCTGTCCATCCCAAGTCTGGCAAAACTGTATGTTATGTGGAATTAAACATAATATTTCAAGCAGGAACATGAAATATTATTTCAAGTTTTGTCTGTCTATGAAAATAACCTCAAAAAGATTCAGAATCTCAGGTTTCTGTGAAACAAATACGATCAATTAGAGGAAAAAAACCATGCAAGGAAAGTGTAACTATTCTATTGATGAGAAGTACAAAAGCTTAGAAACAGAAAAACACCAGCTTCAGCCCAAGACTGAAGGAAAAAAAAAAACAAACCAGATTTTTCAAAACCAGAGTCCATACAGCATCACACAGCCCTGCCTTGTCATGTTTGTTAATATCCTTGCTTAGAAGTCAGACAGCATTTTGTTTAACTTGTGTTGCTCTGTATCATTACACTAAACCATAATTAACTCCCCCTTTGTGCCGGCCTCATTCCAACACAATTGTACCCACTGTATACCAGCAGCAGTTCTCAGGTTTTGTTTTGCAGCTCAGCTGTATTTTTCTTGGATGTTCACAAGACTGGCATTTGACTGGATGCGCTTGGCTAGAAAGGGAAAAATTATATGAAAATTAAACACAAAGAATTCCACAAAACTAGTCTCTCCACTCCCTCTATTTATCTGACACAGACTTGCAAACAGCTTTCTGTTCACGTCCAGAAACTTTAATGAAAATATATGGCTGAAGCTCTTTACTACCCTTCTTCAGGGGACAGCAGCAGACTAATAGTTGCTATTAGCGCCGTCAGCACAGCTGCGGGCAGATCTGGCTGGGCCCCCTCTCCCACAAGAGCCAAGCGAGTCCCTGGCACCGCCCAACTCTAACCATGAAATGCCAGCACCATCACTTACGCAAAATGAGTATCCGTTTCTTCTGCTTCGAGTGAAGGAAGCTACTAAGATAAAAAACAATCGGTAGGAAGAGAATAAAGGATGAAACCGCAATCACTGGGACTGTATCACTGCAGGGAACAGAACAGTTGAAAGTCCTGCTCCAAAGCTTCCGAGTGATGTTCATCTACAAGAAAAACATAAGCAAGCCGTGAAAGCGTGCACATGCATTTTTGCTGTGCTGCATGGCAAACACTCAGGCCTCAAGACATTCAAGTGTTCAAACATGACCTCAGAAAACAACACTTTAACAGATCCCCCCCCAGAAGCGAGCAAACCCCTGGAAACATAGAAACAGACAATTTAAATGGAGCCAAAATTTCACATCAAAACTTTTACAAGCTTCAAAACCAGACTGCGCTCAGATACACTGCAGCACTGCCACATGCCTGTTCCCCAGAGAACTCACGGACAGCCTGCGGGGACAGGGCTAATCCCAGACTTTTGACAGCACTCCTTTTGCCCAACCGCTTAAAACCCCACAATATAACAAAGCTCTTTCCAAACATATGTCGCCAATGCTGAGGACCCCTAGAAACAGCTGCTGTAATAAGGAATCAATTATTGCACTGGCTAGAACAACAGCAGTAGAGTTTCGCGTTAAAAGCCAGAAGATTAACACGATATTTTTTTTTTTAATCCATCCCCTTCGCAGTAACAAGAAGTTAAAGTGCAGCTACTTAAACTGGAACGCGCTCGGGCGATCAGGAGCTTCAGTCACGCTCCTGCTGCACTGACTGAGGACAGGACCTAGCAAGACAACCCCTCCGGGCTAACTTCTTCCTCATGGGACATCAATCTGACAAAGGCACTGCTGCCAGTACTGTCTGACACCGAAAGGGAAGAGGCAATCCCTAGCAAAACAAGCGCAAATGGCTCAGATTAACAAACACCTCCATGACAAGGTCTCCCTGTCGAATATTAATAAATACTTACTGCATCTTCCACGTCGATACACAAGTGTGTGGAGTGCCCGGACTCACCGCCTTGCCTGTTCATCCTTTGCAAGTTGTTATACAGGTCATTCAACATTTTGTAGGTTTCGTTGCAGTTTTTACATACCTCTGTGTAGTTATTTGGTGACAGATAGACTGTTTGTCCCTAGGGTTATAAAACTCCGTAAGAATGCTGTTTTCAGGCATTATTAAAAAAAACCAACTTAAAAACTAGAGTCAAGTTTGAACCAAAATCCAGATTTTTAGCATCCTAGATTAAATAGTGGCCCAGACGGACAACTCACATGAGAATGCAGGAAGAAAAGGGACCAACTCTAATTCACTAGGGACAGGATCCATTTCCTGCAGGTTCTACATCTCAAACTGTTCTTCGGACTAGCAGCTTTTTTATTTAAACACTTATTTTTAAAGTACCAGTTCCCAGAAAAAAAAAAATACTAGCAATTAAATGTTATTCTGGAGCCAGAGATATCGGGTTCCTTAATAGGTTTTTTTTGTTTTTGTTTGCCCATACCTAACAACTGTTAGGTTGCTACTGCTGAGCTATATTGGCAGGGACAGACTGTGCCACAGTAGGTAATACTTTTCATTCGTGGCCTTCACCACCCCTGAATGCAATACGACACACTTGAAAACAAAACTGAAATCTCTAAAGATATTCCAGCCCAGTAATGGTTGTACCAGCTACCCACTGACCACTGGGTTATGTTCTAGTTCAGACACTTGAAGTGATCGATAGGCCAGTCCACGCTGCTCCTGACCAAGGCCTATAAAGGCACATTTCCTAGAAACCATTAATAATAAAAGAAGCAGACAGTTTCCTCAGAGATTGTCCTATACCCATCGCTTCCCATTTTTACTACTGAACGATCCCGGAACTTGGCCAGTTTCTCATTGAAATGGAATATGCGCAGTTTCTTCGGCTATTTAGGGCATTTTCTTTGAGGACAATTACCACATTTATTTCGCTAAGTAAGTTATATCGCCTTTACAATATGGACAAACTTCAACTACCCATAATTTTACTCATCAAAAGAATTGTTACAACGATTTAAGGTAGCTGGTCTTTCTGAACCAATCTGTATTATCAAAAGGTTATTTAAAGATTGAATTGCTAAGTCAGAAGACAACAATTCCACAAAGAGATAGAAAAAGACTTACAGCATGCAGACCTGCCGTTTCTTACTGTATAATTATCAACTATTGCGAATTCAGAAATTCTGATGTGAAGTAGCATTGCAATTACATACAAAATGAATTCAGGTGAATATTAATTAGAATTAATTTTAGGCTCTCAATCCGTAAACATCTGCGTTTTACAGCTCATTGCTTTATCTGCCTAAAAGTCACAAACTCACCAGCAGTTTATTTGCCTAATCTGTATCTGCGGTTTATTCAGCAGAAGTAAGATTTTGCTAGCAATTAGAGGATTTAGCGCTTCTCTTAAATACACAGCATAAATACCTGGAGGTTATGTTCAAAACATGTCAGAGATTTATTGAATAAATCCAGGAATTCTACAGTAGAATTTGATAATCCCTCACTGTTGTTCTTTAAACAATCTGTCAAAGAGAAAGAAAAACATCAGGATATTCTCATTTCTAACATTTCCATAGCCGACAAGCCCCAGACACTCCACTCCTGAAAAAAGAGCTCTCGACTATAAAAGACAGGTCTAGTCAACACTGCAGTTTCCTTATCTGCCTGCCATTGATGTCTCAGACCTGCTGACCTAACTCTTCATCGAGAGCATATTTCAGAATTAATTGGCCTTGATTAAGTGAAAGATGAAGACTATCATCAAGAGCTTTCTGAAGAGGGAGTCTGAATTATCTTTGGACTTTAAGATAAAACAAGACATTACTTTTACTTTCTAGCCTGCAGATCTGGCTTTGCCCAGCAACAGTAACAGCCATTATGTGAAAGCAGAAGCACCAGCAGCGGAGATGAAAGGGAGAGCATCCAGGAAACAGCTAGACGATGAACACAACAGTAGAAATCAGAGCGTAGGTTATTACTGTTTAAGAAAAGAGCTGATCGTTTCACCGGCTTCGAGGGGAGCTCTGCAGCTTTCCTCCCAGTCACAGGCTCAACCTTACCATGTCACTGCTTCCATCCATCCCACCCCACTTCAGGTGCTCTAACCAGAAAGACCCTTGAAAACAACAGTGGCTTGGGACTTTAGACGTTCAGCAACAGCACCGTGAGAGCAAGCCAACAGCCTAGAAAATTCTCCTGAAAGAACGAAGTGCCATCAGCACGGAGGGCGAGCATTCAGCTGGACGCCGGGCAGGCCGCACACAGGTCACAGGCTAAGCACAGCAGGACAGCACAGACCACAGAGCTGCTCCTGTACTGCCCTTCCAGCCTTCACACAGCCCAGACTCAGAAATGAAAACAAACTCTTCTGGGCTCTCAAGGGACCCTGCAGCAAACCCAGCGTCTTTAACACTCAACTCCATGGTGCTATTCCCACTGTTTTCTAGTGCATCTATTAGCGTGGGGTCCCTCTTCCCCCACCAGGGGAATGGCAAAAAGCCATAGTTTAGCTGTAAGCATGGCACAGCACCATCAGCACGGGGACAGCGAGATACAGGCATCGACTTGGACATCCTCCACCCATAAAATGAAATAAAAAGCATGGCTGTGGAGGCAGATACTGTTCAACGTGTAAGCATTCCAGAGTTACTGACTTTATTAACAAACAAGGAGAAGTTTCTTATGAAAGTTTTTTAAAAATGGGAAGACTGGGAAAAACAGAAGAAACCTCAGTGAAGCTAAGGAAAGTCTCCAGCAGGGTCTGTAGGTCACAAAGGAAACTAACATAACTACCTTTTGAAAGAATAGCCTAAACCAAATATTTATATAACAACTGATTTTTCCAACAGACTAGTGCCCTCATATTTTGGCAGTCTCCCTTACAAAATAAAAAGCTGCTGTACCCCTTATTGGAGTGGCTGTAGTCTAGGATTTTTATGTTATATACTGTCTGTATTTAAACAAATACATACAATTCTGATCTGTGCAAATTTTTGGGGCAAAATTAAGCTAAGTCATAACAGTAGCATGAAAGCTACAGAACGAGTCACATACTTGCACAGTTGGCTGCCTCCCAGGTTTCATTAAAGAACACCGAAAGGGTCACAACTATCTGCAGCCTGTCTGAGGTCAAGATGCTTTTGGCACAATTGTGGCTCTCGGAAGAATTCTAGAAGGAAAAAAGGAAACAACAAGAAAAAAAACACAATCAAGTGTTAAAAATACAAAGGGAAGATTTTGAAACGTGTTTTAGGCAAGCACAGCTAAACAATCATGTCTTATCACATTGATATTTCTAGAATAGGCAGAGTGGAATCGACGGAACAATAAAAATCTTTTGATCATCCAAATCATACTATGAGCAACACAGTTTACTGCACGTGGTCTTTGAAGACCTACTAGGACTGCATGCAAGTCAAAAATACGCGACTGGAAGAAAAAAAAAAAACAGAAGAGGCAAGCAGAAAGACAGGGCCCCCTCTGCCAGGTAGCTCATATTCATCCATTTCTGGGCCGCTGCCCCAGGAGCCAGCTCAAGACACGAGCAGCCAGAGAGAAGGATGTTAGACTGCAGGAATATTTGAAGGAGCTGAACCAACAGACTGGCCTCAAAACAAACAAACAACAGAAAACAACCTCCAAAACCGCTGTACCAACGTATTGTATCAACAGCAAACTTCCCCCCGATGCAGCAATACCAGGAACGCAGTCCTCCGCAAAGTGGTGCCCACGGCCACTCCCCCAAGCCTACGACCAGGCCGGGCTCTCGGCCTCCCCAGACGTAGGTACCAAGCTCACCTGGGCTTAGCAAGCCACCCCAGCGCACACCATCCTCAAAGCAGGCACTGGCACAACTCTTACAGCAACTTATTCTCTAGACCAGGTTAATGAAAAAACGCAGAGCGACTGTAAAAGCGGTTACCGAATAAACAGGAAGTATCCCTATCAGAATTCAGAATGATGTTTTTCACCCTCAAATCATTGATGCGAAACCATGATCTCCAGTCAGCTGACTCCTAGAGCTCTAGCTCCTGGTTTCTGGCTGCTAAATTGACTTAAGCACTTCTCAAAATTGCCAAAGCTGCCAAAAGCCTCTTTGATAAGTGACGTGGGACATACGAGAAAATAATCTCTTTAATGAGAAACATGTTCCTCACAGAGCTTTATGAGAGATCCAGTTTCCGCCTCTCTTTGTTAAAACAGGTTTATTTTTTAAATAAGAAGTTTCCCTCGGAGACCCAACTGCAGGAATCGAATATTGCCACATCTGGTAACTCCTACGTTCACCCGCTTTCATTTCTACTAGATTACAAACAGATACGCAAGAAAGTTGTTTATGCGGGAAACCCTCTGGTTTCTTCATGAAGGCCTTTCACTGTGAAACTTCCTCACCAGCTGGACTCACGAGTGGGAAAAAGCACTTTAAATCCAAAACTGAACCAAGTAGACCCATATCATTCCTTAAATATGTTTGCCTGATTTAATCTTTAATTAGCCTAGTGAGGAGGATTTTACATTTCAGAGATGTCCAAAACTTAACTTGGCTCCTTCTTTCATATTGCACTATAACTATTGTAGGATAGCAAAGATAAAAACATCAGATATCTGATCACTTGTGATCGTGGATTGAGGCTGCAAGAGGTCACCTCCTTTATTTATTTGGTTAGTTAATCCACACACAGAAGGAAAGCCAAACGCTCTCTAATACAGATGTGTCTTCCAGACCACACAGTGGACCAGTCCTCCCAGGCTGCCAGTACTCAAGAACAGCAGCTGCAATGAGTTCATACATATTGTAAATACTGGGATACGTTTGGCAACCTAATCCTAGCCAAAACATCACACTGAAAGTACCCAAGAGAGTTACATACTCAATTTCTCACTTTTACATTACCTAGTCACTGGTATGAAACAGTGAGAATCAAACCCGAGAAACAAACGAACAGACTACAGGTTTGCAGACTAAGACAAGAGACCATTTGCCCTGGAGAGGACAATTATCAAATGAACGTCCACGCGCTTTTCCAATACAAGCACTGGGGTGGCGAGGGGAAACAGGCAGGCAACGCATCAAAACCAGAAAGTGATACTTCTTCACATGGCAGGTAACTAAGCTGTGAAATGGTTTGCAGCAGGGCACTGCAGCACCAGAAGTTCACCTGGGTTTAAACAACAGATTTTTCTTGTCAATGGCGACCTAAATACAGATTCGGAAATGCCAAGACTGGAAGCACAGTCCAGGGGACACACTGCTATAAACCTGCCCTCCGCTTGTACTCTTACCAGGGCACCCACTTCTAGCCGTCACCAGAGAACGGACAAAGGTCCTTTGGTCTGATCCACTATTGTCATCCTCGCATCATCCCAGGGACTTTTACAAATGGATAAACTGGACGAGAACGCGCAAAACTAGTCATGAACCACCTCCAACACTAAGAAATGGGAAAAAAAAATATTACGATCAAGAGTCTAGAGAATGTAAACAGAAGACCCAGCGTCAATCAAGGTGGGGTCCACAGACTCCAGCCAGCGCTCAGGACTTCTAGTTTGCACACACTCCCACCAGCTTTGGAGCCAAGAACACCGCAACATGGCTCCCCACAGATGATGTGCATGACTCGCCACAGCTTCAGAGACCACCAATTTTCCAAGAAGTGCCGGGCAACTCCGTCAGCGTTCCTCATTAGCGCTATACAACAACGACCTGCGAGCCAGGCCGCTGCTTTAGGTATTGCTACATCAGCAAGAACAACTCAAGTTTTGCCACTTGCACAGAGGAGCCAAGCTTTTTTTCCGCAGGTGGAGCTACTTGCCCTTAATCACGCCGGGAGCTGGCTGCACCCACCACGCCACAACACCAGGCAGCAGAAGGCAGCCGCCGCCGGCAGCGGTGCTTCCCAAACATTCCCAGCCTCCGTTAAACGACCTTACGCAGCCGGTGGGGCTTACAGCGGGGGACCGGACCTTC